TTCTGCTTACGTCGATACCACACAAACAGTGCCAGCAAAACCATAATAATTAGCAGGAGGATAATAATTCCAGAGATTGCTCCCACTGAATGCCTCTCAGATCCAAGAGCGGGGCTAATTTTAGTATAGGGATTTAATTCTTCCATCATGAGAGCCGCTGTTAAAAATAATTCACAATGCACCATTAAATTAAGTGGCGGAGGCCAGGTTGCAAGAAAGGGCCAGCTATTACGGGGATTACAGTTCTTAAAGCCTTCCATCAGCTCGTCTGAAAGGGGTCCGTGGAACTACAACTCCCAGCAGTGCCAGCCCGCGAGGCCAAGAGCGAGGGATGCTGGAAGATGTGGTCTGGCAATACCTGGAGAGCTACTCTTTGGGCCCCCATGCTGGTTGGAAGGAAACCTCAGCTAGCCCCAAGAAATCGCCTTCCTCCCGTTTCATGGTTTTACAGGGTGCATCTCTGTCCCACGCGCCAGCTTTTGATTCACTTCAATGGCAATTTAGACTTGTATTCAGGTTCCCAGTGCTTCCCAGCCCTCTCTAAGCAGTTTACAGAGTCAGCCTCTTGCCCCCAACAATCTGGGTCCTCATTTTACCCACCTCAGAAGGATGGGAGGTTGAGTCAACCTTGAGCCAGTCAGGATCGAACTGCTGGCAGTGGGCAGAGTTAGCCTGCAATACTGCATTCCAACCACTGTGCTTTATGGAGGTGGGGGGAACTAGTCCTATGCAGATGACCTCTCCTAGTGGTTTTAGGCAAATCTGCCTTAATGAAACACAAGGGGTAGGAGGATCTACAAAGAGGCAGTCAAGAAGGCAAGACGACGGCCCACAAAAGTGGAAGCAAAGCTCCAACTTTTCTCCCTGCACTGCGCCTAGTCGTGGCGCCCATGTTGACTTATTTTGACCCGCCTTTAGACATCCTTCTGGGAGATACTGGGGAGAGAAAGAATGTCCCAAACAGGACCATTTATTTTATTTTATTTATTTATTTAGAAGATTTATATGGCCGCCCACTCACTCACAGTGACTCTAGGTGGCTTACAAAAAGTCCAAAACCCAATATAAAAAGAATAAAAAACAATGCCCCTCCACCATCCCTCTGGGGACATCACACCACCAAACAAGCCACTTGATGGGCTCCATCCTGCGTTGAGTTCCCCAGGCCAGTTGCTAAAACCAGGGCCTTGTGAAAGTGTTTCCAAGTGGGGGCCAGTCTAATCTCTGTGGGGATGATGTTCCAAAGGGAGGGAGGGAGGGTGGGAGCCACCATGGAGAAGGCCCTTCTTCTTCTGTGTTTTGCTAGGTGTAGCTCTTCAGGCGAGGGGACCTACAACCCTTGTCTCCCCGCTCTGTTGGGTTGGGTAGTTGACCTGGAAGAGACAGTCCCTCAGATAACCCAGTCTTTCAACCATAAAGGGAAAGGGAAAGTTTCCCCTTGCACATATGTGCTAGCTGTTCCCGACTCTAGGGGGCGGTGCTCATCTCCGTTTCAAAGCTGAAGAGCCAGCATTGTCCAAAGACGTCTCCGTGGTCATGTGGCCAGCATGACTCTACGCCGAAGGCGCACGGAACGCTGTTCCCTTCCCACCAAAGGTGGTTCCTATTTTTCTACTTGCATTCAACCAGCATCTTGAATTGCACCCGGAAGCAAATTGTCAGCCAATGCAGCGTCCACTGGAGAAGGGACACCTGTGCATACCTGGGACTGTGCAATGATATATGATGGCATCTGAATTGGACGGCTTTATTCTAGCGAACTAAATGCCTTTTTTGACGCATGACTGAGTCTACCTCTATATTGGGCCATCTTTGTTAAACCCCAGCTTTTCGGCTTTCCTTCAGAAAGGTTCTTAGGTTTCTAGTCCTCATGGAAAAAAGTCGAGCCAAAGCCAGACAGTCTACCAACCCTGTCTTTTCCCCCTCCCGTGTGAATTTCTTCCAGGGTATCAACATTTTTGGGGTGTGTGTGTGTGTCTTTTTGAACTGTTCTTGGAAGAATGGCCCGAGTTGAAGGCTCCGTTGAAAAGGAAGACGAGCAGGGGGTGGGGAGAGAGAGAAGGAGTTGCCTCACCTTGATCGCACCTGATCCCTTTGAAGCCGGGACTGCAGTAACAGGTCCCTGTAACATAGTCACAGGTGGCGTTATTCATGCATTCGCAGAGCTGCTGGCAGCCGTAACCAAATGTTCCTTGCGGACACTCTGAAAAGGTGGAAATGTGAAAAAAAGTCTGGAAACCAGATTTTGCCAATCTAAATTATTTTTGTAATAGAGCAGGGGTGTCAAAATGGGAGCCTGATCTGGCCCGTGGGGGAATTAGATGTGGCCTGCGAGGCTGCCCTGGAAACAGTGAAAGACTGGCCCGCGGTGCTTCTGCCAGTAAAAACAGGCTCCTGAGCTCCATTTTCAGCTGCAACGGCCTCCTGCAATCCACTGCCAGGGAAAATGGAGCTCAGGAGGGCCGTGTGCAGCCTTCCCGAGCTCCCTTTTCACTGGCAGAGGGTTGTAGGAGGGGGTGGCAGTCAAAAGTGGAGCTCGGGAATCTGTTTTCACTGGCAGAAGCACTGAGGACCACTACAAGTGCCCCTAAAAGGAGTGAAAACAGAGCTCGGGAACCCGTTTTCACTGGCAGAGCTCTCCGGCCACTACAGGCAGCCCTGATAGGAGTGACATTGAGCTGGCCATGCTCATCCTGGCCACGTACCCCCAACCCAACCCTAATGCGATCCTCAATGAAATCGAGTTTGACACCCCTGTAATAGAGGATCATCAGGAGATGCTAGTTAGGAAAAAAAACCTCAGGTAAACTGTGCTGCCTTCCTATAGCACAGTCTTTTTCCAATCTTGGCCACTTTTAAGATGGGTGGACTTCAACTCCCAGAATTCCCAGTCAGCCATATAAATCTCGGGGGGGGGGGAATTTCCATTTTTGGTTTCGAGTGACTGTTTTCATTAGGGAGGGGCTACAGTTTGTGATGTTCTTTCGGATACGTTTTCCATAATGCTGAAGCTTCAATTTTCCCCTGAGATTTTGTGAGACCCGGAGGGGCTGCAGAGGGCTGGACAGATAGTTGTGACACAGTCACCTGTCCTCATCTCCTGACCACTAAATAAAGCTAGAACAAGGGAGTGGTGCGGTGGCATAGAGGCGGAGTTCTCGCCTCACAATCTAACGGCTGTGAGTTTGATCCTAGGTTGAGGCAGATATTTCTCTCTCTGGGCCTCAATGAGAATATATTAGCTGAAGAAAACTCCGCACTGGTGACAGGAAGGGCATCTGGCCAGTAAACACTCTGCTAGCTCCATTCAGTTGCCCATACTCCACTTCGCAAGGGATTATGGGGGGTCATCAAAAGAGGAGGGTGATCCACATTTTCTCCTCCAAAACCTTTTCAACAGCAAACGTTTATCGAATTCAATGAGAATTAAAAGGGGAGAAAAAAAACCTGTAAGAGAGTTTTTGGGCATAGAGACATGTCTGGTTCCTTGGAGCCCACTGAGATGATGGTGCACCTTCTCAATGAACATGGCCACCACTTTCTTAAACCATCTTTTGTCTTCCCCTTCAATGCTGGCTACCCTGAAGAGGATCAGGCTTCCAGATCCGGTTTCCCAATGGATTTCCCATCGTGCCCCTGGGGAGTCTATTTGGAAATGACCCAAAGAAGCAGGTCTGGTTATTGGCTCAACTGCAATCTGCACAGTTGCCTTTGACGGATTTTTAATTTAATTTTTGCCAGCAACTTAAATGCAGTTTAAAGTGTCGCTCTTAATAGAGTCAACCCTTCTGTAACGCTAAGCATGAAAAATTTGCAAGAATTTTTGGAAAACTCTAAAGGTCACTCCCAAGTTTCTAGGCAAATGTATTTCTTCGAGGTTTGGGGTCTTGCAGCCTTGAACAAGACAAGCCTGGGGGGTCCCTGCTCTCCTTCTCCAGGGACCCTCTGAACCGAAGCCGACCCTGAGGCCATCAAAACTTTATGTTTCCGTTTCCCCCTCACTCTCTCTCCAGACTGCCAGCATTTGGTTCCCCATATTTCTATCAGAGGGAACATGATTGAATGGCCAGTGACAAAATTTATTCATACAATTACTGTGATGGTGACAATAAATCTGACGGCAGCTTATTGTGTTTCTTTGGGCGATATTCAATAAGAAATGAAGAGGCCGGCTGTAAACCAGCTGGTGACTCTACTACGCTAGTGGGAAAGTTTTGGGGACACACCCAGCTCTCTGCATTCCTCCTCGATCCAAGGCTTTGTAGATACACCAAGATAGGGGAGGGAGGGAGGGAGGAAGGGGAAGAGAGGGAGGGAAGAAGGAAGAATGGATAGGAGAGAGGGAGGAAAAAAGGAAAGGAGGGAGAGAAGGAGGGAGGGAGGAAGGGAGGGAAAAAGGAAAGGAGGAAGGGAGGAAAGGAGGAAAAAAGGAAAGAAGAGAGAGGGAGGGAGGAAGGAAGAAGGGAAAGTGGAGAGAGGGAGGAAAGAAGGAAGGATGGATAGGAGAGAGGGAGGGAGGAAAGAAGGAAAGAAGGAGGGAGAGAAAGAGAGAGAGAAGGAGGGAGGGTGGGAGGAAAAAAGGAAAGAAGAGGCAGGGAGGAAGAAAGGGAAAAAGAAGGAAGGGAGGAAAGGAAGAAAGAAGAGGGATGGAGGAATGAATGAATGAAGGGGACGGAGGGAGGTGATGAGTTCAGCTCAGAATAAAAAATGCCCATTTCTGTGGATGAGGGGATGGTTGTGTGCATGCAGCCACACAGATGCTCTTTCTTCCACAGCACAGAACTCGAAGGGGGTGTCTTTTTTTTCTTTGGGGTTACTGAAGGCACCCCCAAAACCCCTCCAAAGCAAAGCAAGCCGTTCTCCCGAACTTACTCTGCTCACACTGTTTTCCGGTGAAGCCAGTCCTGCAGGTGCACTGCCCGGTGATGTGGTCGCAGTCAGCCCCGTTCTGGCACTGGCAGACATTGGCACAGTTCTTTCCATAAAAGGCAGCTGGGCATCCTGGCGGGTTGGGATCCAGAAAGGACACAGGAAGAAGTCAAGCAACTGAAATTGGTCTCCCTTAGCCACGGCCTTTGCTGGGGGAGCTTAGGCCAGTAACCGGATTTGACTCTTAAGGTATAGCAGGGGATGATGGGATTTGTAACCAAACATCTCCACAAAGTTGGGAAAATGGTTTGGGCCAGTGTTTCTCAATCTTGGCAATTTTAAGATGGTTGGACTTCAACTCCCAGAATTCCCCAGCCAGCTTTGAATTCTGGGAGTTGAAGTCCACATGTCTAAGGTTGGGAAATACTGGTTTGGACTGTTAACAATCCCAAATAGGATTTAGAGGTTTCTCCTAAAGCCAACAGCCCTGCTATTTCTTAATCACAACTTTGAGGAGTTGTTCAGACTTCCAAAACCACCACGTATCTAATCAGGGAATCTGTGTTGAGCAAAGGAGAATGCTGTGTGCCACTATAAAATCAAGTATTTCTCTTTTTTGGGGGTGGGGGTGGGGGTTCACTTGTTAGGATTGATTTATGTTTGTTGGGTTTTATTTGCTCTGATTTGGAGACTTTTAACAATCCCAAAAATGCTCAGAGCGGACACTAGGGGGCAGTGCCCACTTTATGCAGAAAACCTTCCCAGCAGGAGCCTCTCAAAGTCTTACTCTGCGAACAGAAGGGACCCGTCCAGCCAGGGGTACATCGGCATTCTCCATTGTGGGGGCTGCACGTCCCACCATTGTGGCAACTGCACGAATGAAAGCAATCGCTTCCCCAAAAGCCCACCGGACAAGCTGGAGAGAGAGAGAGAGACAGAGAAAGAGAAAACAAGAGAATATATCTTTCCATCCTTGAAACTAAAAAGAATTTCAAAGGTAGAATAATAGTGTTGGAAGGGACCTTGGAGGTCTTCTAGACCAACCCCTGCTCAGGCAGGAGACCCTATACCTTTCCAGGTATAGTTGTCAATAGTCTTCTTGAAAACCTCCAGTGTTGGAGCACCCACAACAACTCCTGGAATCAAGCGGTTCCATTGATTAGATCACTGATGGTGAACCTTATTAGGCCATGTTGGGCCGTTTTTCATTCTCCGGAGGCTTCCAGAGGCTTCCCTGAAGCCTCCAGAGGGCAAAAAACAGCTCAATGTGCAAACCGGAAGTCCGTTCCTGAACTTCAGGGAAGCCTCTGGAGGGCGAAAAACAGCTGAAAATCAAGGCCAAAAATGAGCTGGCCAGCACACATGCAGCTGGAGCTGACAGGACAATGCCTTGCATGGCCTCAGAAATGGCTCTGCGTCAGTGGTGGGTTCCATATCCCATTGCAACCGATACGGTTGCAATGGGGACGATGTCCTCCACATGAATGTGTGCGGGGTGCATGCAGACGTGCGCTGCACACGCATGATCTTACTGTCCAGCGATGCCTCCATGAGCCTCCGCAATGCTCCAGCTGCTCGGTGGAGCGTTGCGCAGGCACTGTTTGCGCCGTGCGCGGAAGCACCGAAGACATTAAAGACAGGTAAGGAGTGTGGGCGGGCAGGTGGGCCCTCCGGAGCACCGTACGGGAATGATACCCAGTGCTCTGAGCAGGCTCCGGTACGTCCATACCGGGGTGTACCTCCTGCAACCCACCACTGCTCCACGTGCCACCAGTGGCACGCCATATATTCGCCATCACGGGATTAGATGTTCTCAATGGAAATTGAGAAAGGAAATTTCTCAATTTTAAGGAAATTTCTCCTTAATTCTAGGCTGAAGCTCTCTTTAATGATCTTCTACCCATTGCTTCTTCACCTGCCCTCAGGGCAGAGGTGGCATTCAGCCGGTTCGGGTGAACTGGTAGCGGAAATTTTAACAGGGTGTCCCTTTAAGGTACTTCGACGTGGGGGGTAGGGAGGACCATAAAGGGACAGGCCAAAGAAGCAGCCTTTTCTGCCAGCTCTGTGGGTGCGGCTTGGTGGGCGTGGGGTCATGTGACTGAGTGGGTATGGCCAACTGAATGTCACTCACAGCAAGGTGCCACCCCAACTTGCGGAAAGTGAAGTCAAGTTGGCCACACCCACTCAGTCATATGACACTCCCCCAAACAAGCCAAGCCACGTCCACTGAACCAGAAGTAAAAAAAATTGAATCCCACCACTGCCTCAGGGACTTTGGAGAATAGAGTGACCCTCTCATCTTTGTGGCAGCCCCTCAAATACTGGAACACTGCTATTATGTCACCCCTAATTCTTCTTTTCACTAGACTAGACAAATCCAATTCCTGCAACTATTCATTGAATGGTTTAGCTTCTGGTTTCCTAATCATCTTTGTTGCTCTTCTCTGCACACTTTCTAGGGTCTTAGCACCATTTTTTGTGTTATAATGACCAGAACTGGGCACTTTTAACTATTTTAACTATTTTCATCAAATAGCCACATTCCGCATCTTCTTCCAAAGAAATAAATTCACTCTGTACATGCACTGAAATCTATCCCATTGGGGTGGCAGGGCCAGGATACAAAAGGACCAGAGGTGAAACAGATGTATGTTGAAAGATCAGCCCTGCTTCATATCTGACAGTTCTCCAAGCCACCAAAACCTACCCCAAAATATAAACGGGAGAACAAGCAGACCTACAAAAGGATTTCTGAATAATCTGTGCAAACTTGTTTTATTAGGGGAAAAAGCCATGAACACGTGTGCATTAGGGTGCGTTGTGTTAACAAAATAAGTTGCAAGGAAAGTGTGCTCAGCTATGTGCAAAAAACTGATGCAGAAATGGGAGAAATAGATTTTGGAACCGGCAGACTTAAAAATGGAATGAAAATGGAATTTATTGTCTCTTCTGAAATTGATGCAGCATTTTTAGGGCAAGAAAATTCTGTCCTGAACTGCATCAAGCATTAAGCAAGTTCCCACATTACTTTAAGCTATCTAAGAGTAAAGTGGTGGATAAAGTGCACAAATAAATGTCTATGATGGCTTGTTTAACCAGTCATCTTGGCTTCCAGCAACCCAGACATTCTGGCATTTCAAAATTCCTATCTCTATATCTCTATATCCATATCCATATCCATATCCCTCCCTCTCTCCCTCCCTCTCTCTCTCTCTCTCTCCCCTCTCTTTATCTATCTATCTATCTATCTATCTATCTATCTATCTATCTATCTATCTATCTATCTATCT